TTTTTTTTGACTTGGAGTCTCACTCTGTCGCCCAGACTGGAGTGCAGTGGCACGCTCCTGGCCACCGCAGTCTCAACCTGCTGGGCTCCGGCAATCCTCCTGCCTCAGCCTCCCAAGTAGCTGGAACTACAGGCACGCACTACCACGCCCGGCTGATTTTTTTGATTGATTGCAGAGATGAGGTCTTGCCAAGTTGCCCGGGCGGGTCTCGAACCCACGCTCAGGCAATCCACTCGCCTTGGCCTCCCAGAGTGCTGGGATTACAGACTAAGCCACTAAGCGTGGCTTCATTCCTCCCTTTCAAACCAGACTTTGGCTTCTTCTGCACCAGAAGCTACTGAGAAATCAGAGTTAATTCTTTGCCTTTCCTAGCGTCCCGTGAACGGGCAATTTAAGGGGCTCTGAGGGTATGTGTTAAAATTTCTACTAAAATGGCTGAGAGTGGTGGCACAGGCCTGTAAAATCCCAGCACTCTGGGAGGCCAGGGCAGGAGGATTGCTTGAGCCAATGAGTTCAAGATCAGCCTGGGCAACAGCAAAACCCTGGATCCTGTCTCTACAAAAAAATAAAAAAGATAGCGGGGTGTGGTGGCATGCGCCTGTAATCCAGCTATTCGGGAGGCTGAGGTGGGAGGATCACCTGAGCCCAGGAAGCCGAGGCTGTGGCAAACTGTGACCATGCCACTACACTCCAGGCTGGGGGACAGAGTGAGACCCTGACTTAAAAAAATTTAAAAAGCCAGGTGCAATGGCTCACGCCTATAACCCAGCACTTTGGGAGGCTAAGGTGAGAGGATTGCCCGAACTCACAGGTTCGAGACCTGCCTGGGCAACTTGGCGAGACCTCATCTCTACAATAAATCAAAATATTAGCCGGGCATGGGGGTACATGCCTGTCGTTCCGGCTACTTGGAAGGCTGAGATGGAAGGATTGCCGGAGCCCAGCAGGTCAAGGCTGTGGTGGTCGTGAGCGTGCCACTGCCCTCCAGCCTGGGCAACAGAGTGAGACTCTGACTCACAAAAAAACAGAGATGATGGAATAGAAGGGACATCAGCACAAAATTCAAAGTTAAACCAGGAGCCATCAAACATATGGCCTGCCCTGGTGGACTCCAGGACCGACAACCCCAGGTGCCCTACAAGTGGCGAGGTCTGGGGGGCATGCAGCGTCCACCAGTCAGCCGGGACTGAAGAAGGAAGCAAGGTGACATCGCTCCCGCTTCTGAGGTTCCAGCAGTTCTCACCTGAAAGACGCGAGGGTCCCCGGGCGGGGGGCTGCCGGGGGGCGAGTAGACTGGCTCCAGCCGCGTAAATTCCTCTGCAAAGTTGCTCACGTCCAGCTCCGAGCGGATCTGGGGCTGGAACGGAGCCGGGATCTTCCTGGCAGCCAGAGCAGCCCAGTCCAAACCCTGCAGAAAAGGCATCAGGGATCAGGGGTCAAAGTGCAGGAACCGGAAGTCCCCTCAACTCGGGAAGCTCCTCGGTGAGGCCAGGACCTATCAGGCACTTGGGGTGGGCAGCTGCCCACCCAGGCTCCATCTCTCTCCCTCTGGTAACAGAATCCCTGTTCTCCTTGGAGAATCACCATGCCACCACACTTAGTCGATTCTGGAACTTTTTTTTCTTTTGAGTCTCACTGTCGCCCAGCTGGTTTTGGAACGTTTAACAGAATTGGTGTGAAAAGCAAATCTCTTTCTCCTACTAGACTTAAACACGGGAGCATGTGGGTCTGGAACAGCTGGGGGCCCTCTCAGGGCCTAGTGAGGTCTGCGTGCAGAAAAGCAGAACTGAGACACATGGTTTCAGCACCTGTATGCAGCCTTGCCTGAAGTCAAACCGCTTTTCCTTGGGTTTTTCACTTATGGGAACGAAAACATGCCCTTTAATGTTTCAGCTAATGTGGCAGAACCTGTTCATTGCCTACCCAGTATCTGGTCTCCCCGTCTACGCTTAGTGCCATGGCCACAGTTTTATCCCAAGAATCAATATACACAATTAAAAGAATATATAAGGTCGGGCTTGGTGGCTCAGCCTGTCATCCCAGCACTTTGGGAAGTCCAGGCAAGTGGATTGCCAGAGCCCGCGGGTTCGAGACCTGCCTGGGCAATTTGGCGAGACCTTGCCTCTACAATCAATCAAAAATTAGCCAGGCGTGGTGGCGCGCGCCTGTAGTTCCAGCTACTTGGAAGGCTGAGGCGGAAGGACAGCCAGAGCCCAGCAGGTTGAGGCTGCAGTGGCCGGGAGTGGCTACTGCCCTTCAGTCTGGGCGACAGAGTGAGACTCCAACTCAAAAAAAAACAATATATATGTATAAAATATATATTTTTTAGTTGGAGTCTCACTGGTCTTGAACTCCTGGTCTCAAGAGATCCTCCCACTTCAGCCTTCCAAAGTGCTAGGATTACATGAACCACCATGCCCAGCCAGAACGAAGAACTATTTTAAAAATAAAAAGGCCAGAGATAGTGGCTCATGCCCGTAATCCCAGCACTTTGGGAGGCCGATGCAGGAGGATTGCTTGAGCCCAGGAGTTCGAGACCAGACTGGGCAACAGCGAGACCTCATCTTTTTTTCTTTCTCTTTTTTTTTGAGTTGGAGTCTCACTCTGTCACCCAGACTGGAGTGCAGTGGCCGCTCCCAGCCACCGCAGCCTCGTCCTGCTGGGCTCC